TTGATATCAGATTGCATGTATTACATATTAATATTACTAAATGTCAGATTGCCTGTTTTACAAATTACTGCTACTAGATGTCACATTGCATGTATTACATATTACTATTACTTGATATCAGATTGTCTGTATTACAAATTACTGCTACTACATATGAGATTGCCTGTATAACAAATTACTGCTACTAGATATTGGATGCATGTATTACATATTAATATTATTATATGTCAGACTGCCTGTATTACAAATTACTGCTACTGGATGTCATATTGCATGTATTACATATTACTATTACTTGATATCAGATTGCATGTATTACAAGTTACTGCTACTTGATATCGGATTGCATGCATTACGTGTCATTACTAGATATCAGGTTATATGTAATACATATTACTACTACTAGATATCATTTATATTGTACGGACACTTAGGGGCATGTATAATTTGTGTATACAAATCAGCATGTAAATGACCTAATAGCAATGAATACCCGCATCTTTCTTCAACATTATACGGGAATATTTGCAGAACAACACAGCCTCGACCCTATACAAATTTACTCATGACGTCATGGCGAAACGAAATATATCACTTCATCAGTTATTAAGGAAACATGCTGGCATGTAGTAAAAGCAATAAATATCGTCAACTTTGGTTGCGTGGGTTCCACTTTACACAAGGCTATTTTGAATTTCACAGAATAGTTAGAAATACGAGCAGATTATAAACACTATATCACAAATGAACTTCTACGGAGACATGCTTAATGACTTTTACCAGGGAATTTTGGACATATGGTATGACGTCATGAAATGATTAAACCTCAAAAGAAAAAAAAAATGTCCATATTGCGTGCTTTAATGAAGTTATTGACATCAAATATGATTTCATAATGTTAATGATGTAATTGTTTCCATTTTCACATGAATAACACTGTGCTGGACATGATAGGCTTTGTGTTGAGTGTTTACTATTAGCTACATCAGTTCATTTCGTTCGTTATTCATTTCAGTTCGTTATTGGTAATCACACACCATAAATGTATTATTGTTGACGACTCAGAATAAAAAGGAAAATGGTAATATATTAAGAGTCGCACGTTTTCAAGTATGATCACAGGGGCTGTTTCATTCATATGTGTCCCTAAACACAAATCTGTATTGTGATTCATGTGATGCGTAGACTATTGTTCTATTTCCTCCATTCTACGCATGTGAATATTCACAGTATTTCGTTGCACGACACAAATCGTTTTACAAATTATTCAGACATTATAACAGTGAGAGAGATACAACAACAGAGACACAAGACAATCTAGTGATGGAAAGATTAGTATTGTCCTATCATATTGGATATCGTACGTATATCGTTGACCCCGCATTTAGCGGATCATGTCAATGCGCCATGTAACACATTTTCTACAAATTATCATTTTAATGCCGCTCCTACTAGTGTTACTGTGCATACACCAAGGCGTTTAGTTTTTAAACAGGGGCGTTTCTGGGCGACGCGATATTGAAAACAGCCTGAGTTTTACGGTACGACGAATTGCGCATTCAAGCGTGAAACAATATATCGAGATCATAATCGGATGCGATTATGAGATTGGGCAGTTTATTTCCGATGTAATATTATTGCCTAGTTTAGGTTTTTTCATAATTGATTTGTTCAAAAGTAATTATGTACGAATGCTAAATCGACATGCGATAATGTGTTAGATATGAGCTACCGGAATACTAATCATTTTGAAATCCGACATAAATGTTAAAAAGCTGGACCAAGTTTCAATACTTTCGTCGACGATTTGCCGTGTTTCTGAAATTCACATACATTAATTATTTAATTTCACTTTTTTCGTTGATAAGTAAAATTCGCTAAATTAAATCTACGTGATGTAAAATAACAATTAAAACATCAAAATAGTGAAATTAAATATCAGTGAAAATAAATGGTTTTACTGTACTTACTGAACATATCTGGATGTTGTTGTCCTGGAAACAGGGCCCGTCTTGATGAACAACATCATCCATGACACAAGGAAGAAAGTCAGCACTACGATGACTAGTCGATATGGGTATTTTCGTATGCAAATTGTCATCGTTAAGACTGTCGATCAGAAGGTGTTGAAAATGGATATCGAGGATTTGTAAACTGGAAGTCAATTGTAATAAATAATGAACGATTGATGATTTCGTCTATATTCCCCCGTGAAACGTGCAGAACGGAGCGTTGAGAGACTCCCGTCTGTTCATTTCCTCGAGTGATCGATCGAAACGTTTATCAGATAGTCTTTCATGAATACGTTTATCTCACGACGTGTGTTGAGCGGTAAAAATCCCAATACCGTGCTTTCACCAATAAATATTGTTTTAGCTACTCTGTGTTTTATACTGATGCCACGACCATTTTATAGAGCAAATATCTCGTTACCATGGCAGCGATTACTAGGTTTCCGTGTTACCACAGTTAAGTCTCTGCTGTGAACGGGATCAGCGTAGAGACCAAAAGCTTCCCTGGTATACATGTCTTCATTTTCGCTAAACAGCTATGACACGACAAATCCCTCGAGCAAACTCTATTGAATACGCCTCGCTTTTTGTCGTCGTTTTGCGTTTTTGTATATTATATAGACATTCAAATGATGGGAATCAGTAATCGACCTAAGAAACTCTGTGGTTCTTCGACTTGATCGTAAACCGTACACGTCTCGACGCGTCTTTACGCATGATCATCATCACCGATATTATCACTACAAGAAAGGATGGCGTTCGCGGTGAGATACAATTTCGAAGTAAAGCTGTTTACTATCTGCAGACCAAATGAAGGCATATGAACTCCCGTCATTCAGTTTGGCGTTATATGTTTAACATCTTGTTTCACTGGACCATGCTCGTCGTACTCCAGTGTTACTCTGATGAGAACCGCGCAATATGTGCGTTTCACATGAAGCACTGCAAAGTTGTGTATAAACCACTCCCGTGGACAAAGAGGAGTGAATTATTTATCACTAACACGGGTACTGTGAAAACTGATTGACATTCACCTCGGCAACAATACTCCACCTAGAACTAATAATCCCCGCAGCGTTAAATATGGAAATTGTAACTCATAACAAGATATATTGCCTCTATGCATATCGTGCACTTCAGGGGTTAAGGGTCACGTCATTGGTGTTAGCCAGTAACACAGACAACTTATTAACTAGTTTAAGAAACCTCTTTTCACCCAATTGAGCACAATGAAACATTCATTTCTACCAATTTCTTTGTGGTTACCCGTCCACCCCCACGTTTGCGGGTGATGGTTTCCTCCACCCAGATTTTCGTTATCGTCTATTCTTGCTTCTTGTTTCATCTCGACCGTCATCCATCTAGTGCCACTGAAATGTGTAAATCACATGGCTGAACACCCATCTCTAATAACACATTAAAATCGTGCTCTAGATGTGTTTTTTTTTTTATATTGATACCAACAACCTCGGGAATATAACCACCATCGTTTACATGATAATGGACTGTTGTCGCCTATTATACTAAAAATGTGAACATCAGTTACATCAATTTGGAAGGCGGTAAAATATAATGGCCCACGCCGGGAGTAAAGACTAGGGGCGTGACAGAGAATAAAGGAATCGGTGTTCGTGACAATAGAATAATAGCACCATGGAAAACAACAAAGGAGGCGGTGTTAGTAGCACAATTGTGAAGTGTGAGAGGTATTAGTAATTAAAATGAAATATATTCGCGACGGACTCGACCGAATACAAATCGCTGAATATTAAGTTTGTTTCGAAATCGCACTAAAATAATGATTTATACCAGAAAGCCTGTCGACTAATAATATATATATTGTCAACTGCGGCAATGACTCACGTTTACTTGGCAATAACACCTAATACCAATAAAGATGTCAAATTTGACGAATAAATGTGTTTGATTTGATCTCATACTCTACATCAAGTGTCGCGTTTTTTCACTAGTTTATATTTATACGTCGACACATTAGCCAAAGTCGCACACAATAGACCTAATATTTTACTAAATAGCCCTAGGCACCACAGCAGCGCCACAACCAGGTTTGGACGCGAATACAACAATAGTTATTCTAAACACGCTCACAAGACCGACAAAAGGCAGCTGCGTCCATTGCATGCACGTAATCCCTGGGTGACTGGCTAACTCGTGTTTCTTGGACAAGCAGAGGGGTTTTTAGAGTGACATACAACACCTTTTCTTATAGTTCACACATTTCTTAATATGATTGGAGTTGTTTCGATGCCTTCCGAGTTACTTTTTTACATAAACGAAACACTGCACTTGAAATAAATGTAAGCACTTAATACAGCGCTTGGTAACATTGGAGATACGTTGGCTGAGAGCTAAAAGTGGGGTTTTTCACGTATAACATACATCAAGTTTCACAGATCACTGTGAATGCATTGGCACAGGGGGCGTGGCAGATGGGGTAGCCCCTCGAAAAAATGTTGGGGGACGTCGCCCCCTCTAAAATCAAGCTGAAACCTTTTGTGTCAGAACAATTTGCCCCTCAAACTGCAGGAAATAGCGTTCCAGAGGGTTTAAATTTCATTTTTCGGAAGAATATCCTCATGCAAAATTTCGTACCGCCGCCTCTGAAATGCTTGAAGAACACTTTGGATTGATCACACAATGTAGCATATACACGTAATGTGCTTGTAATTGTGCTATGAACATGGCTACATAGTTAGAACAATACGCAAATATTATTATTTATTTACTGAAATTTGAAATAAACTACTATTTTGGCAACAATGGGAAAATAGATCGGCGTGGTCATACCCCTTTTTGGTGTCCATCTAAATTTTAACAGGTAATTGAGATTTATGTCATAGGAATTTATTCTTTCAGAAACGACACAACAATCGATTTTCCCAATATACAATGCAGTGTGTGACTGACACGTGCCGGAGCGAGTTAGTAATAATGTCGTAATCGTTGAAATACGTCTTAATCAAGGCATGCAGATAAGGTGTCTGTGTGGCAATCTACGCTGCTGCTCATGTTGATGGACTTAGGGGGCTGTCACTGCTCATTTTGATGATTTTAACAGTTCACTATACGAGGTAGTGAATATATTTTTTTATTCGGATACGAAAATAAAATTGTTGTGCTTAAAACGAACCAATTTTATTTTCCAAAAAGGACATATTCATATGAACTCAGTAGTATTTATTTGCCGCATTAATTCTAATATGGTATGTCATGTGACAATGTTGAACTCCTTTAATGTATCCGGTAACGAAAGATTGGTTGAGAAGGGAACAACATTTGGGTTATGTAGCTACATGCATGGTCTCATATAGAGGGCGCGGTCGTGCCGTTATGGCACAATATTCAAGCGTTTAACACTGAGACGGCAATATTTAATCTTACCATGATTTACGACAGTTGTCATTCAGTCATTCGGGTGAAATGACTCAAAGCAAATGAATGTTCTTAAGAGCCATGCATTACATGAGTGAGCTTTACAGCAAGTCTCACAAGTATTGGGGCAGCCAATTGGCTAACTGCTTGGGTTTTGACACAGTCCCTCTGTGGTTTTGACTAAACAGTTGGCTTTCGAATCTCGCTGGCGCCGTCCACGCACCACTCTGGGTGAATCTATATAACAGTAGGAGACAGTCGTCATACTTTAGTTGGTTGGCAATCAAATATACCAGGGAAAGTGTTCTATTTTTTTCGTGGTGTTCGTATGCAAGGGATTGTCCACGCAAAAACGATGAATGAAGTCGTTCTTAGCGGTTGGTTTAATGTTACCCCAACGAACCGTTTGGATGTGAAAGTTTATTTTCTCCCTGATTTATAGGAAACTTTCTCAACTTGTCTTTTTATTTAGTTTCAATCAGTGTTCAGCAAGTTGGCTACCCCCATATAGTAAATATCGGTGGATTAATCGCATTTATCATATTATCACTTGTACGCCAGCTGACTGTGGCCATTCTCAGAATGACCTGGGAAACTACTTTCACATTACCACGCCTCGCAAAGCAAATCATTCCGGGGAATCCAGCCATGTATCAGGCTACGTAAAATCATTCTATGTTCCCTAATGCAAAATAGACTCACCCGGAGTGGACGCAACCACTGCGCCAGCAAGATTCGAAAGCCAACTGTTTAGTCAAAATCCAAACATTTAGCCAATTCGCTAGCGAGTTTGCAAATTGGCTGCCCAAATACTTCTGAGACTTGCTGTAAAAATGTCATATAAATATTACACCAGGTGATCATGTAAAACACCTCAGGCTGTCTCCTTTGAAGCAAGAACGATTTGAATTGCAAAACAAGTAACTGACGACTGCACTAATACACGTACTTGAATATGTTTTTAATATGACAAATCCTCGTAAATCATGGTTGCCACTAACACTAACAACATACAGTTTGAGATGTTAAAAGCCACATGTGTTCGGATTAGGAAAGGTGTTTTAGTGACTATTTATAACCTTCCCATTTCTAAAGTTTGATGATTGGCAACGACTCCCCAAATACACACGTGACGTCATCGTAAATTGAACCATAATTGAACACACTCTGCAAGCGTTTTCACGACGAGAAATAGCACGTTGGTTGATACATCACTGCATTACGAAATATCTGACCTATATTAATACATACCAGAGAAGAATGTAATACACGATATGTTTATGTAATACTCAATACATCCGTTTACCGATATCTTAGTGACTGATCCATACACCTCTATATATCGATAACATAGTGACTGACCAATACACCTCTAAATATAGATAACTTAGTGACTGATCCATACACCTCTATATACTGATAACTTAGTGACTGATCCATACACCTCTATATACTGATAACTTAGTGACTGATCCATACACCTCTATATACTGATAACTTAGTGACTGATCCATACACCTTTGTATACTGATAACTTTGTGACTGATCCATACACCTATATATACCGATAACTCAGTGACTGATCCATACACCTCTATATACTGATAACTTAGTGACTGATCCATACACCTCTGTATACTG